TACCAACAGAATGATTGGGCCGATATGTTACCCCTGGCTGAATACTGTTACAATAACACTGTGCATAGCTCTACTGGTATGTCGCCTTACAAGGCTGTCTCTGGGTATGACAGCCCCCCCCCTTCCGTTCCTAGAGGGGGTCTCTGACCGTCCGGGGGGGACGCTACTACATGGTGTTCTTCTCTTCAGAAAGCGTGGCCTCTATTGTGCCAAACTCTGAACGCTGCTAAAGCAGCGTATAAGGCCCAGGCAGATAAGGGTAGGGTGGTGGGATTTGATCTGAAACCTGGGGACCTTGTGTATGTTTCTACTAAAAACATCAAGTTGCTTCGCCCGAGCAGGAAGCTTGGTTGGAAATTTATCGGGCCGTTCAAGGTGCGCAAAGTCATTAATGATGTGGCTGTTGATGTTGTATTGCCTAAAAATTTGCGTGCTCTGCATTCTGTCTTTCACATGAGTTTGTTGAAGGATCCTGGTACCTCTCCTTGGAGGCCGACTGTTTCTCCCCCTCCACCGATCATCCTTGAGGGGGATGAGCATTTTGAGATCGCTGATATCCTTGATTCTAAGATGAAACGTGGGAAACTGTGGTACCTCATCGAATGGGTTGATTTCGGTCCCCAGCACCGTGAATGGGTGGAAGAAGGGGATATTAGGGCCCCTTACCTGCTTCGTTGTTTCCACAGGAGGTTCCCGGACAAACCGGGAGGTCTCCCGCCCAGCCCGGGAGGTCTCCCACCCGACCCGGGAGGTGATGGTTAAGGTGTGTTTTTGAGGGGGCAGTATGTCAGCAAGCTGCCATGGTGTTCTGTGTGACTCTGATTTGTACATATGTGCTCCCTGTCCCTGCCAGCTGGCCATTATGTTTTCCTGCTGTAATGCTAAAGTAAAACAACTGGAGGATGTGAGGGGGAGAGTATGCTTCAATGCTAGCTTGTTGCTTATTAAGCCTGAGAACGGCACCTGTGTTATGTCTACAGTTCGCCTAGTTCCCAGGGCCTGGGCGCGGAACCGTTTTCTCCTGCCCGCCAGCGGGAATGTTACCCATTGGTTATGTATCTAACTTGAATCCCTTTATCATGTCTGCCCTAACTGCTTGTACCCAGTTCTAACAAGGAACGTGTTTGAGTGTCTTTCCAATGCTTTGAAATAAATTTTGCTTTCTTTGAAACGTGGATTTATTCTCGATGCTTGGGGATCCAACACTATGGCAATAAAACTTTGTAACTGTCTGCCTCTATAGGTGTCTTCTGCTGGTGGGTGTAGACTTTTTTCTTTTGTTTGGCATACCCTAAATAATAGTTATTGGCCCTCCTCTTGTATAGTTTATGTTAAGATTGATAATAATCTCCATCAAGATTGAATTATTTTGTAATTTTAATTGTTCAAATCTTTTCATTTTTTTATGTGCATCATCTTGGGGACCCTGATTGAATGGAAAGGCAGCATAAAAATGTTTTAATAAATAAAAATAAATCTTGGACCGGTCACACATTCTCAACCTAACCTACTTCACATTCTTATTGTGAACAAAAGAGAGGACAAAAGACTGCACTTCCTCTCCCTGAACTGTGGTGTTCACACATTCCCTCTAGCTTCAGTGAAACATGGCTCTTTCGTGGACATTACTGCTAACTTGCTCACCATTTTTAAAAATGTCTTGTATACCCTGCAACCTGAGAGAGCCATGATTTGCCCTGTTACATCAACATGTTTTCATTAGGTACTCAAGATTTTTTCCAAAGATTGTATATATGTGATTCCAACTGGATTTTTAAAAAGCAGGTATACAACAGAGATCTGTGTGTGCAGCAGCCCCTATAATTTCCAGTCCATCTTCTTGCACCTTTGGTGCAGAGCAGGAAAAAAATGAACTTTATAGCTTTTGAGTGATGGGCATATGACACCAATGTATCTGAATATCATTTTGGATGTCAGGAATAGTAACACAGGATAGGTTTTAAAAAGGGGAACAAATAAATGGAAAACAGATTGTGGCAGTTATTCCTGAGAAAACAAATAATCATACATACTGATAGGAAAGAGAATTACCTGTGAACTGCCCATCCACTGTGATTTCTCCTAAAGCTTGATTTCTTAAAGCAGTTATATGGTGCCAACTATTATCATTATATTGTCTTCCACCATCATTATCTGGAGTTAACGCTACAGCAGATCCCTTTTAAAAGATGTTTAAATAGTTAATACAACATTTTCATTTAAAACTTTCAGTCATTGTTGTATCAACCTTGAGGTTTGTGTGCAACATAATTTCAAAGAGTAACGCATATAAAGATGCCTGTTCATGCTGAAACAGGGTAATATTGCTAATAACTACCTTTCCAACTTTACATACAATCCAACATTCAGCACTCATTACAGACAACTTAATTATGCACAACGTCATACAATAAACACAGTGAATTAAAAAATAAGGTCCCACAGAGTCAACTGAAACGGAATATATGCAAAAGTGAAATAATTGTCAGTTGATCAGTGACTTCCGTGGATCTGTCACCATCACTGGCCCTTCTTGCTCACCCTGGTCTTCAGCATCTGGCTGCTTTTAGGTTCATTGCTATAATGTAATCTCATGTTTTTGTGGCAGCTGAAGATACTTTTCACCCACACTACTATGATGCTGAGGCTTCAGCCCATTTTTAAAAATCAGATGTGGACCCAAAGACTGTTACCCATGTATTCTTAATTTGTAAAAATAAAATTGAATATAAACTGCCCCAAACATCTTAAAGAAAGGATAGAATTTTTTTAAAAAAAATCACAGAATCATAGAGTTGGAAGAGACCTCCAAAGTCATCTAGTTCAACCGCCTGCACAAGGCAGGAAATTCACAAATACCTCCCCCCCCATACCCCCAGTGACTGTTGTTCCATGCCCAGAGGATGACAAAAAACCTCCAGGATCTCCAGACAAACCAGCCTGGAGAAAAATTGCTTCCTGACCCAAATGTGGCAATCAGCATGTCCCTGGATGTGTAAGAAAGGACCACAAGAACTAAGCACTGAGGCAATCCTTCCTGCCCTCCCTCTCATAATCTAAATTCACAGAATCAGCACTGCTGTCAGATGGCCATCTAGCCTCTGTTTGAAAACCTCCAAAGAAGGAGATCCCACCACCTCCCAAAGAAGCCTGTTCCACTGAGGAACCGCTCTAACTGTCAGGAAGTTCTTCCTAATGTTTAGCTGAAAACTAATCTGATTTAATTTCAAACCACTGGTTCTGGTCCGACCTTCTGGTGCAACAGAAAACAACTCGGCACCATTCTCTATATGACAGCCCTTCAAGTACTTGAAGATGGCTATCATATCACTTCTGAGTCCAGGCTAAGCATACCCAGCTCCTTCAACCTTTCCTCATAGGACTTGGTCTCCCATCTTAGTTGCTCTCCTCTGGACACATTCCAGCTTGTCTATATCCTCCTTAAATTGTGGTGGCAAAACTGAACACAATACTCTAGGTGAGGTCAAACCAGAACAGAGTAAAGCAATACCATCACTTCACTTCACCTTGGTTTTGACACCTAGCCTGTGCCGCTGGAAGATCATGAGCAGAATGACTCCTAGACCTCTGAAAGTATACCGTGAGAGTCAGCCATCTTGAACAACTAATTAACCATCACCAGCACTTTATTAATTTGTATTAGCTACAATGGAACTGTACTAGTTATAATGGAATTATTTTTAGATGATTTTATGTTGTTTTAATTGTATTTATGCATTGATTGTGAGCCGTTCTGAGCCTGCATTGCGAGGAGGGTGGGGTACAAATTAGATTAATAAATTAAAATTCACATGATCTGGACACTATACTTCTGTTGAAACAGCCCAAAATGGCATTTGCCTTTTTAGCTACCGCATCACACTGCTGACTCATGTTCAGTATATGGTCTACTAAGACCCCTAGATCCCTTTTGTACATACTACTGCCAAGACAACGCTTCCCCGACCTGTAATTATGCATTTGATTTTTCCTACCTAAATGCAGAACTTTATATTTGAAATTCATTTTATTTGTTTTAGCCCAGTTTTCTAGCCTGTCAAGATCATCCTGTATCCCCACAGACATGATTCCTGGTCACGTATAGATATGGCTTGGGTAAATCTAACATTGTTGAGTGACCTTCTAGAGGCCGAAATACTGCCAAAAACATTCGCTGATCACAACCCAATACTCTTAGCATTCAAAGAAATTAAAAAAAGAAATAGATGGACTATAAGTACCTCACTACTTAAAGACAAAAAAATTGTAGAAAAGACAAAAGCAGAAATTAAAGATTTTTTCACACGTAATATCCAACCAGACATATCAATACAAACAGTTTGGGAAACATTCAAGGCTTATATGAGAGGTTGGTTTATAAATCAAGATGCATGGAACAGAAAACAAAGAAATGCATTATACAAAGAACTAAGTAAACAAATTAAAAAACAAGAAGAGGCGCAACAAAAAGGAACCAAAAAGGAGGAGATACAAATTAGGCTAAAACTATTGACACATAAAATAAATCTGTTAATAACCCAAGAACTAGCGAAAAAGATAGAGTATGCAAAATTATACCACTTCGAAAATGCAAAGAAATCTTCAAGATGGTTAGCTTACAGACTAAGAAAAGAAAAAGAAAAAAGATCTTGCTCTGAAAGATGAAAATGATATTGAAAAATTTAAATTACAAGACATAAAAGAAATTGCGGAGAAGTTTTATAAAAATCTATATCAACAAAACGTAGAAGAAGAACTAAAAATTAAAGAATACCTGGAGTTGAACAACAAACAAAAATTTAACCAAGATCAACAACATATTCTTAATGACCCAATCACAGTAGATGAAATATCAGAAGCATTAAAGAAGCAAAAAACCAAGAAAGCACCGGGCCCAGACGGCATTCCGGCAGAATTCTTTAAAGTGTTTGAAGAGCAACTGCTACCTCCACTGTGGAAAGTGATACAGACGGTAGAGGAACTAGGTAAAGTACCAGAATCGTGGAATCAGGCAGCTATAACACTAATACCAAAACCAGAGACAGAGAAGAACCAGATAAAAAACTACAGGCCAATATCACTTTTAAATATCGATTACAAAATCTTCGCAACTATCCTGGCCACGAGATTGAAAAGAGTCCTGACACAAACGATCCATCATGACCAAGCAGGGTTTCTACCCAACAGATCAATGAAAAGCAATATAAGAACGGTAATTAATGTGTTAGAGTATTATGAACTTCAGCCAGGGAAACAATTAGCATTAATGTGTCTAGACGCAGAAAAGGCCTTCGACAACTTATCTTGGTCTTTTCTCTTGCAAAAACTAGAGATAACGGAATGTGGTGATAAATGTAGAAAGATGATAAAATCAATATATGAAAAACAACAGGCCCAGATATCCTCCAAGATTATGGGAAGGTGGCTGGCTTGAAAATAAATTATAAAAAAACCAAATTAATAACAAAGAACTGTGACAAAGATACCAAACAACAACTACAGGAGATAACTTCGATGGAGATAGTTAAGAAGATAAAATATCTAGGCATAATAATGACAAATAGAAATAGCACTCTAATTGAAGATAATTACTCAAAACTGTTAGAGGAAATAAGGGAAGACTTGAATAAGTGGAAAGATCTACACCTGTCACTATCAGGAAAAGTGGCAACGATCAAAATGAATATCTTACCAAGATTCCTTTTTTTGGCCCGAAATATCCCAGTCCTGAGAAGATACCAGTTTTTGGAGGAATTAGAGAGGATAACCAAAAAATTTATTTGGAGTGCCAAAAGACCAAGAATTAGAGCTAAGTTATTACAAGAAGGAAAAGATAGAGGAGGCTTTGCCCTACCAAATTGGAAAATTTATTACCAAGCGGCCTGTCTTGACTGGATAAAGGAATGGATCAAGTTGGAGGATGTGAGGGGCCTAACTTTAGAAGGATCAGACCTAGCAATGGGCTGGCACGCGTATATTTGGTACGGGAAGGACAAAACCCACCCACACTTTAAGAATCATATTCTAAGGGCGGCGCTGTTAAAGGTTTGGAACGAAATCAAAACCAAATTTTATACTAAAATACCAAAATGGGTGTCCCCCTTGGAAGCCTTTATAAGACCAGCTTTCCTTACTAAGTATAACAAAGAAACGTATGAAAAATTATTAGATGAGACAAATCACCTCAAAGCAGAAGAGAACTTACTATCACAATGTAATGTGAAATTATAGTATCATCAGCAAGTTTAATAAGCATTCCATCTATTCCTTCATCCAAATCATTTGTAAAGATGTTGAACAAAACATGTCCCAGGACAGATCCATGATGCACTCCACTTGTCACTCCTTTCCAAGAGTATGAGGAACCATTAACAAGCATTATTTGGGTGTGATCTGTTAACCAGTTACAGATCCACGTAACAGTCATAGGATCTAAACCACATTTTACCAGTTTGCCAACCAGAATATTATGTGAAACTTTTTCAAAAGCCTTACTGAAATCAAGATCAACTATGTCTACAGCATCCCCCTGATCCAGCAAGGTAGTAAATTTCTTTTAAAAAGCGATAAGATTAGTCTGACATGACTTGTTCTTGAGAAACCCATGCTGGCTCTTAGTACTATCACACCTGTCCTTTCTAAATGCTCAAGGGTTGTCTGTTTGCTAATTTGTTCTAAAACTTTCCCAGGTATAGATTAGGGGTGTGCAAAAAAAAATTCGGCCCTTTTCGGTTCGACTGAATTGGGCCAAATTTGATTCGGCTGGCCGAATGACCCCCGAATGCCACTCTCAGCAACTTAAGCTGATTCAGGGCTCATTCGGTCAGCTGCAGCAGGCAAACTGGAGAAGGCTTCCAGAGCCCCACCACCACCATTCCTAGCTCGCCCACCGAAACAAGCTAGCTAGGAAAGGCCGGGGAGGGTGCAGGAGGCATTTAAGTGCTTTCCCTGGGGCTGGGCACCCTTTTTTGGGCCGCCATCGAATTTCGGTGGCTGCTTTTGGTGGCAGGCCGAATCAGATCAGAGAATCTGATTCGGCCCGTAGCTACCTGAAAGGGGGCTGAATGGCCCTTTTTCGGGGGTGCATATGGTTTGGACGAACTGAATGCACATTCCTAGTATAGATGTCAAGCTGACAGGTCAGTAGTTACTCGACTCTGCCTTTTTCCCTTTCTTGAA